AGTAACCTAAACAACCAAGTCTCGGTGGTAGCTCTTGAACCTACATGCTTTTCACGTTCACCCAAAGAAACAACCTCCACAGTCGTAAACACGAAACCCCCGAGGCCCTAAACCCGAGTTCCGCAACCCTAAACCCTACAGCGTCAAGGCCCGCTACACTGAAAGCCTCAAAGGTCCAACGCTTGCCGTCGATGATTCGCGCAACCTGGCGGCAAAATACGGCAGGACTTGTTCAGATTCCTTGAAAACCCTACGCTTAACCTTTGCGACACTACATTGTTTTTGAAGGTTTAACGGCTTTATAAAGGAGCGCTTGAGTCAGAATCCCTCACTGAGGGCCGACCATTATCTGACAAAGGCTGCTTGCTTGCAGAGGCACGTGGGTTGGCAATTTTATCCTCAGGATCAAACCCTTCATGCGCACGNNCCCCCCCCCCGAACACTAAACCCCAACACCCTGGAGTCCTATGGGCCCTTCTGCTACTGGCCAGGGTGAGGTTAGAGTGGATTTTTCTGGCTCTGAGCCTCACGCGAAAAACTTGGAACTGCTGCATTAGCTTCTGTTCGGGTTTAGGGTTTGTTGAATTCAAAGGGTATAGTTGTGCCAAGTACGGCATGCTTTTCATCCTTTGGGCCCCGATATGAGAAAGCTGATGAGGCGAAGCCTTCTCTTTTTAAACGGCATGCATGACGGTATTAAGATGTACGAAGAGCTACCACCGATACTGGTGCCTACTACTTCGTGCTAATTTGGAGACCCCCCCCCCAAAAAAAAGACATTATCATATGTGGAGGGGATTTGGGGCGCATACTGCCCAGGGACGTGTGACTGTTCGGGCAGGGGGGAACATAGAAACGGGGCCATGATACCTACTCAGGCCTTAGTATTAGCCGTAGCATATGTTAGCATCGTAATCTGATGCCTGTGCTGGGAAGGGGTGGGGTATCAAGGCACGAGAACCCAACCACGAAACCTTCACAGTGAACGGATGTGAGCCTCAAAAAAAACAACTATTCCAAGGAACGTATTGATTAGAATAGTTTAGGGTTCCCAGGATAGGGTGCAAGGTTTACGGCTTTGGCTTATGAGATGATAGCATCATTACATAGGCAGGGACGTTCAAGGTACGCTATAGACTGTGTACTACTTGACTTCAGCCTACACCCCCTTCCCCCTTCAAAACAAGAACCAAAAAGGTACAACCCAAAAGAAAATCCGAACGCCCCTCTTGACTCAGGCACCCTTCAATAGTAATAGAGCTACACTGCACACTCTGACGACCCTAATTCCCAGGTCCCAAAGCCGAAATGCTCAAAAAACCAAACGAATCCAAAAAGCCGGTTTAGGGTTTAGGGTTTAGGGCCCCAAAGCAACATACAGCCAAAACAAATCCCTAAATCCTCCTGTCCCCCTCCCTCCGCCAATCCAAACTGCGCAGCCTGGACGAGTGAAGCCCCGAAGCCCGAAACCCTCAGCGTGCCCTTCTCGGCTCCTCGTGTAAAGATAGCCTGAAAGGAGCAATTTTCAGAAATAAACTGCAACTTCCTACAGCAAAGGAAAACCGAACCTATGAAACCCCAGACAAAACCCTCCCAAACCCCACTTCACTACCAACCCCAAGAACACCTATGGAACCCGAGCTCTTCTGACACAAAAAACCCAGAGTAATTCACAGAAGCCCTGAACCCCTAAGCCCCTAAGCCCCTAAACCGGCCCTAAACCCCTTAAAAACCCCGTATAAAACCCCTCATAAAACCCCTAAACCCCTAAGCTAAAGTGTACACCAAAACAAAAAGCGGGATTTTCGGGAGAGGGGGGGAGAGGGGGCGTGCGCGCCTCGACGAATTCTTTTCTCATGGACTCAAACTCGAAGGTCGAAGCCTCAGCTCGGGGGCGTTAAGGGTTCCTTTAAGGGTTCCTTGCAAGGGTTCCTGTAAGGGTTCCTTGTAAGGCTTCCTTGTAAGGCTTCCTTTTAAGTTTAGGGTTTAGGGCTTAGGGGTTTCAGGGTTTAGGGGTTTAGTTTAGGGTTTGGGGTTTAGGGTTTAGGGTAGAAGGCTTAGAGCTGGTAGGGTTTGCTATGAGGCAGTTTCACCTCTTTGTGGGCAAAGACCTGATTCTGTGCAAGGGCTTAACTATAGGGTTGAGCTTAGGGCTTGTAGGGCTTTTCAACGTTTCTAAGGTCCCTAAACCCTAAACCCAAAACCCCTAAACCCCTAAACAACGCTTGTGATTGAAGGGTTTGTTAGGCCGCCGCTGAACCCATGCACCTCTGCGAGGCCGTGCCCGTGCAACCCTTTCCGGCCTGGATCTTCACTTAAAGGAAACTACAGGTGGGGAGTTTAGGGTTTAAGGGTTTAAGGGTTTAAGGGTTTAGGGCTTAAGGGTTTAAGGGTTTAGGGCTTAAGGGTTTAAGAGTTTAGGGTTTAGGGTTTAGGGTTTAAAGAAAACTACAGGTGGGGGGTTTAGGGTATATAGGGCTTCTATAAGGCTTCTATAAAGTATACAGACCGTAACTCCCCACCTGATAATGTCCTAGATTCAACACCCGCAACCCCGAAATCGAGCACATACATCCTTAAACGCAGGACACACGAACCCCCCAGACCCAAGGAATCCTAGGGACTGTTATTTTGGGGGATTTTTCCCCAAATCAGAATAGTAATTCCCACTGTAAGAAACTCTACATTTTACTATATAGGTACTTGGGACCCTTTTGGGGAAAGCCAAGCCAGAAAACCCTAACCTAAGAGGAAACTCATGGTTAACTCAGCATCCTCGAGTTGAGCTGGAAACCCAAAAAAAATCAATATTGCAGGTCATGTGCCGTGCGGTTTTGGGTGAACGGCTCCTAGGGCTCCATGGAGTTTTTGCATGGGTCATGGGTTGTTTAAATGTCTTGCGGAAGGTCTTGTGTCTGTTACCTTAGACCCTAAACCCGTTTTTTTATTGTGTTAGGGTGCTTGAGGTTGTTAACGCTAGGGGTGCCTTTCAGGCTTTAGGGTGTATCGGGTTCCTTCCATAGCTCAAGATCCCAAACTAAGACCGTCGACAGAAATACCACGAAATCTCCGAGTCTGCACAGTATCGCAGCGGATGCCTACCATGACTAATTACCAGCGCTATTCATAGGAATCCTTGTAGTATCCGTTTCAGTGACCCTTATAACGACCAATATGGTGATCCTTAGAATAACCCGTTTAGCTGCCCTCATAGGACTATCATGATCCCTAAGGCTCCATGCGCCTATATCGCATATACACATAGGCCTGGAAGCACCTAAGTTACGGAACCCCTTTAAGGCCCAAGTATATACTGCGTGGACACATGGAGCCTTTGGGGATTACCAGAAACCACAGCTGAGGCTGAGTTATTCTAGGACATTTCCAGGTGCGTCGTTACCGTTCTAGGAGCCTCAGAGAAGGTCGATACTACCTTAATAGAAGCCTTATGGAAGCCCGACAAAACCCTAAACTCCCCACCTGTAGTTTCCGTTAAACCCTAAACCCCTAAACCCTTAAACCCTAAACCCCACCTGTACCCTAAACCAAAAACCCTTTAAGTCATGGCTACCCTCACACCCTTATTATAAAAAGGACCCTGAAGGGTCATCTTAACAGTGACACGCTGGATCGTAGTCGTAGCAAGAACTAACAATATCAGTCTGAGAAGAACAGTGGTAGTGAGAATAGCAACAATCCCACCTCCGAAGACGGGTAAACCCTCCCCTAAACCTTTTAGGGCTTAGGGCTTAGGATCTTAGGGTTTAGGGGTTTAGGGCTTAGGGTGTAGCGTTTAGGGAAACCCCCAAATTTCCGAAGACAAGCCAACCCCCTGGCCCAGACTCCGGCCCCTGATCTCTCTGGAGGTGTGTAGGTGCCTTCCTGGTGCAGGGTTTGCTGTTGGCTTTAGGGTTTGGAGCGGGATTCTAGGATTCTGGAAGGAATCTCTATAAAAAGAGGATCCGATTTGCAATGGCTGTATAAAGTTTCTATAAACGGGGTCAAGACATCGGCACGATCAATAGGGGTTTATGCGGGTTCTGTGGGCGTTGAGGGTTCACCACAGCGTCACATGAAGGGAATACAATTAGGGTAAGATGTTCACGGCATGTATTCACTTCATAACATGCCTTCATGAAGCCTATACCAGCATACAGAAAGAGTCAACTACCCTATCCTGATTACCACTTACTAGTTAAGGCCCCTGCAGCACTTGGACTACATGATAGGAATGATAAGACTAGTTGGAGTTTTGTTGCAGTGCAAAATACTTCTTAAGACCTGTTCAAGCACTTTTGACACGACCTCTGGCCCCGTGCATAAAAACTAAAAGACGCTCCAAAACCCGCTTAGTGGTTTAGAATGGGAACTACCGTCTATAATGGGAACCCTAATCAACCCTAAACCCTAAACGCTAACTGAAGGGTTTTGGAGTCTCTGGGTACACCCTGAAAGACCAGCTCGGGATTGGCTGCAGAGCCTCACCTCCAAAAGAATTCGCCCGAGCCGCCGCGGCACTAAACATAACCGAGCAATCAAAAGCGCTGATGCAGGGGTCTTGATAATTAGAAGAGGGT